CATCGCTAATGATTACCTTTTACTGCAAAGTTCTCTCATAGATTACATGTCATATCTTTTTTCTTTTCCTGTCTTTTCCTCTTTTCGCAATTTAATCAATTGAAATTTTTCACTTTTATTCATTTCAAAATTTTAAATTTCTTTCATTTTAATGAATTGTACTTTGTCAATTCAATGAGCTTTTGGCAAGACAAATATGGATGGATAAGTACTAGCTTAGTAATAGCATACATCTTATTGAAAGCGATGAATTAATTATCTATCCATTGATATAAATATAAATGATAAAATGATGGTTTGCTATTATAATGATATATCGATAAGATTTCTTCTTGGATATTCTTATCATCAAATAGGTTAAAGATCAATTTCCAACACTGACAATGAATGGGGTAGTGATCATGTCAATTTATTCCATTATTTATGTATTAGTCTTTGCCGATAATCTCTTACATTTTCTTTCTTCCTTTCATTTTTCTTTTTTTTTTCTTTTTTTTAAGCAATCCATCCATTATTTCTTGAAAAATTTTAATGTTTGGAAAATATTTCAAATTTATTTCATTTTTTTTTTGCTCTATCTTTATTCAATTTTCATTTTATTTTTTTATTGGAAGTTAACCAAAGATTATATTAAAAGATAGCTGGAGTTTTTTTTTTTTTTCCGTTTTCATGCATAGAAATTAGCTTAATGATTATACTAGAGGATAATTAAAGGTTATACTAGAAAATAACTAAAGGTCATTCATATTAGAAAACAGGTAAAGGTCATACAAAAAAATACCTAAAGGTCATACTAGAAGATAGCTGAAGATGAAGATAGCGATACTTTAAATTCATTAATTTTTATTTAATTGTTCTAATATTTATTTGATGTTTCATTACGAAAGTTCATTCTAATGATATTAATTTTATTTAAAAAAGTTTCATTATAATGATTTTTATTTTAATAACCTTCATTTGAGAATGTTTATTTTAATGATTTTATTTGATAGTTTCATTTGGAATAGTTCACTTTAATAGCATTTCTTTCTAATTTTCCTTATTTCATGTAATGAGAATTAACGAGACGATTAAAATTCAAAATCCTAAACTTACTTATGTACGTCATTTCATTTCAAATCAAATGACAATCAATTCAGTTAATGAATTTCTCGATGACAATGTATGATGCAAAACAAGATAAGAATTTTCATTGTCATTCATAAACAGATGTGACAACAATTGTTTTGCATAAGTGTTATGTTATCAGCGAGCATATCAACTGAATTGATTATCTTTGAACCGGTAATCAAATGAAACAATATTTCAACAAAATGGATCATTAAATAATATCACATCCATGATTGCGAATTGCGTTAAACTCTTTCAAACTTTTAGATTTGTTTCTGTTTTTTTTTTGAATTATTACTTTTTTGAAGTTAATAATAATCATTTATCAATAAACATTCATATCTATATCTCTTAAAAAAATTAGTTACCATAAATTATTGTGTTGATTTTCTAATTAGAAAATTATAATGTTTATTTTCGTTGTCTTTAATTAAATTTAATTAATTAATAACTCAAATATTTATTATTCTTGTTGCTATTTTTTTAGATTATTGGATTAAATTATTTAGGAAAGTATTTGAGGAACCAATAGTTTTCTTTTGCATTTATTATTATTATTACTAATTAATAAATTAATTAATTAATTATTATCATCTATTTTTTAAGGTGAAAAAATAAATCTTTGCATACTTTTCCAAATTTTTACATTCTTAATTATACTTATTTATTCGTGCATCTTTTTGATTAATTATTTATACATTTATCATTTCATTTTCTCTCATCATACTTTTGCTTTTTCCATCATTACTTATCAATCTAATCTATGCTTCGATCATTTATCCATTCATATTTTATTTATACTTATCAAATTTAAGCCATTTTAATAAAAATATTGCTAGTAAATTTTTTATTAAATTTTCCTTTGTGATCAATATAACTGTCATGTTTCAGATTTTATTCATAATAAATAATTATCATTTTGATAATCTTTGTTCTTTCTCTGTGTATTATTCATCATCCATTTGAATGATAAAGATGATGCAAATTTTATTACAGTAATGAAATATTTTCAATCCTTCTCTTTTATCGGTTGATATGTAAATGAAATCCGATAACATTACGGGAATTGTTTTGCAAGAGTTTCATTGTCGTGACAAAATACGGCTTGAAGGCTAAAGGTAAAATTAGATGAAAAAAAAAAGAAATCATGCTGTTAAGTGATGATTAATAATCGAATGCATCTCTCTCTCTCTCTCTCTCCCTTTCTTTTTCTTCTTCTCTCTCTCTCTCTCTT